GGGCGCATGGGCAAAAAGAGCTGAAATGCGGCTCGTCTATATCAATATATTCTACATCTATCTATCTATCTATCTATCTATCTATCTATACACATATATATATATACATATATATATACATACATGCATATATATATATATATACATATGTATATATATATACTTGTGTTTATCGGTATATACATGTACACATACACACATATATATATATACAGTTACATATATATATATGTATAATATATACATATACATACAAATATATATATATATATACATACATGTGTATACATCCATATTGTTTTTTAGTTGGTAACCCCCCCCCATGAACTACCGACCCTCGGTTTGTACTGAAAATACTGTGTCAAACCAGCTATTCCGGCTGGTCCAGGTTTTGTATCTGCCAAAGAATGCCAAACCCATAGGCTCCAAAGTAGTTCCTTTTGGGGGTTACCTTGTAGGATCCTAAGTATGAACCACAAAAAGCGACTACCATGGAGCCTCTGGGAAAGCACAGCCACATTTCAAGAAAAGGCGCCAGGCAACTAGCTAAGGTTCGATCTGCGCACGCGCTCAACGGCAACACCGGGCTCTTGCAATCCAAAACCAATCCTGTCCATGGAAAGCCAAAATACAAAGCACACATCTCGTGAGAAACTAAGCGTCCAAACTCTCAAAAGATAGCTTTTCTGCTTCTCCTTGGAAACATGGAGCTTGTACCGCAAAAAAGTTGTCTGCGGCTAATGCAGGGCTCACAACTATGGAGTCCCAGGGTTAGGCTTGCTAATAAGATGAACATAGTGGGTACATTCAAACTCAACTAGCATTACCCTAGGCTTCCAGGGACCTTATTAACAGGTCCTTAAGGGGTCTAGGGCCCTAACTATAAGGTCCTTGGAAGCATAGGGTTAGACTCGATTTTGAAGATGTGAACAGCATCATTGCCATTTCTGGGGTTGAGTCTTACATTGACACATGTTGGCACAGTGGGTATCCGTAGGTCATCGTTCGGGCTCATGTCAGGGTCACCATTCGAGCTAATGTAAGGGCTAATGTGAGGGCCACGGGCAAGATTAGTCGTCTGGGGATGCTGCTGTTTAGAAGTAGGAGTCAGTCAATGTTCACGGTCATTCATACGTATTGTTGAGGAATTGAACTGAGACTACTGTGATTGTTATATTATTGGGAGGCAATATTGGCGCCCATATGAGCTTGGCGTACTCAGAGAGAATTTGCTTTTGGCATTCGGGCAATCGCCTCTCGGAGTAGCTAAAAATGTCGCAAGGAGTCGAAAATCATTGTAGGCGGCTGCCGATATACACATGCTTTGCCCCTCGGAACCTCAAAATCTAACGTCAAGAACTGTAAGCTTGGATCATACACAAGAAATCCTAAACGTAGGAGGATTGGTGGCAGTATCGCGGCACGCGGCACCTCGCAGTAGTTCTTGCGGGGGAGGGGAGGGGTTAGCATTTCCCTATGTGTTTGTTCGTACACATTTGTATTGGTTGATTTACTTGCAGATTATCAGTATGTTTGGTATATGTTACTGTTAATATTGTTGTTATTGTTGTTTGTATGTTTATAAAAACAACATATGCACAGAAATATATAAAAAATAGTTTTTATATGTATGTGTATATATATATATACATATGTGTGAGTGTGTGTGTGCGCGCGTGAGTGTGTGTGCATGTGCGTGTGTTACATACATACGTACATACATACATACATACATACATACATGCATGCATACATATATACATACATACGTACATATGCATGCAGCGGGATTTATTTTAACCGCTTTGGGCATCGATGTATACACAAGTGCTGCATCGCTTTGTCTACGGATAGAAAGACAGGTAGCTTTCTACCTGGCCATCTAGGCAGGTAGATCTGTAGATAGCTAGAAAGATAGGAAGAGAGACAGGTTGTTAGATGTGCGTACGTACATACGTACGCACAAACACACATACATGCAGATACATATACTCTACACATACAGACATGTACCTTAAGGGTCCAAGTACCTCTTATTCTAGAAATTGGGTACAGCAGCCGTAACAAAATTTTGCTTGGACCTTCACAGGGATACATATACAAATACACATACACGTACATGTACATCTCCACATAAATATACATATCGGTTTATGTACACGTATGCATATAGATACACACATATACCATACTGTGGTTGTCAATATCTTTTTGTTTTTTTGCAGTTTGTGTCGTGTCCTGCAGGTTGAGCCTGCACATCTTGACTGTCTTGCTTCTGTTTGGGTTTGGAGGTTTTCGGATTTCCGGTCTTGGGGTTGGGGGTTTTGGGTTTCGGTTTTGGGCTGGATGCCACGGGCATGGAACGTTGGGACAGGATGCATTGCAAGCGCTGAAGACTGGAAAAGTGGATATTTCCGGCAACATCTCTATTGAGTTGCACCCCGGCCTGACTCAGCAACTTCTCGCGTTTCGTTCAAGGTACGTTGAGACCTGGCTTTATCAGCTGAGGATTTCGGCGTGCAGGGTTACCAAACAATTAAAGTATAAGTACTTGTTTGAATGGGGTTACAGCATCGAGAAGCTAGATGCGACAATCATTTCCCTGGGGGTCCATGTGCCTATTTAGCAGGAGAAAAACGAGAATGGAACCTAAACGCCGTTTGTGGCTCCAGCGCCCTACACTCAAGAAAACATAGAAAGACATACGCTAGAGGCTGATTAGTGTCTATAGCTGTCTAGAGCCTGAAAACCCAAATACCCGCAGCTCCCGAAACCCGACCACCCGGCGAATACACTGACAATCCCACATGAGCCCTGCAAAGCCGATTCAACTTCCAGATGCAGAGGGCAGCAGAAGCCTATGCCCCAAACCCTATACTTGCTCAGGTACAGAGGGCTGCAGAACAGCATCTCTGCCAAGGAGATATTTTCCAGACCGCTGTTCATTTGGTACGACTACATCTGCTGCCCCCAGCACGCTACAGCCTTTGCATTGCGTCAGATGCCATGGCTTAAAGTTTTTCGGGACAAAGGCGCTTCGGGCAGAGGGTTCAGTATGACCGAGCAACAGCAATTAATTGCGACAGCGGCTGCGGCAATTGTAGGGAAGCCAGAAGTGATGAGGACAATCCCAAATAATCACGGATAACTAACTACAACGACAACATCACCGTGCCACCAACACCACCAGCGCCAACACTGCCACCGCCACCGCTGCCACCACCACGACTACCAGTATACTCCTAGCCAACCACCACCGTAACCACCAGTGCACCACAAGCACAAGGCAAGGGTTCGGAGCTGGCAGGAGACTAGGACAACGACGACAACACGAAGCTTAACATACAGAAGTCTCGCGCTTTGCAGTGTGCAGCATAGGTGTTGCCCTCGATTATAAACGACCCCCAAGAAGGCTCGAGGACGCCCACCTTACACCACCAAACCCCGTCTACTACGAGACCACGAAACCGCGCCTTTGACCTGTGGCTACGGCTTAGGATGGCTGTCAACAGCATCCCAGCCTATGTTGACAGATGTGCCTGGCCTCATCAGCATTGTCATTGCTGTTGCTGTTGTTGTTGTCGCTGCTGGGTGGTGGTGGGGGTGGGGGCGCAGGCAGGGTTGAGGCTGGGGGGTGGGGGTGGGGGTGGTATGGTGGGGGTGGTGGCGCTGGTTGTTTTTGCTGGCACTGTCTTTGACATTGTCGTTTCCGTCGCCGTGGGGCTTGGGCATGGGCGTCGTCCTTGCTGTTGCTCTTGCTGTTGCTGTTGTTGCTGCTTTGAGACGGAGCCCTGTTCCAGATCCTGGCTCCTACCTTAAAGACGAAATGAACCCCAAAAGGGTATCAGGTTCATATACCACATAGGGATTCATAGTATAAAAGCATAGGGCCCCTACTTATAAGGGTCATTTGGTCCCCAAGGTAGGTTTCGGGTTTCGGGGACTTGAGGTTGAGGAGCAGCGATGCAGGTGGCTTCATGCTTCTGTCTCTCCTATCTTCACTTGTTTTGCGCATATTTGAAAGAATTCGTTCCGTTCGCGGTATGTCCCGCAGTATGCCATGCCGACATGAAGCTTGTAATCTAAACCCCAAACCCTACAGCCTGAATTTAGCTAACTAGTCATATATATATATATGCCCCTGCGGTGCTCTAATTTAGCAATCTGGACATATTGGATGTGGTCCTCCGTTTCTTTCGCTCGCACGAAGCAGGAGCATGAGCGTTCGATCTGCCTGGCTAGACCCTGAAATGCAGTACCTACGTTGCTCATGTTGCTTCGCTGTTGTCGGATCCCAAATGGCATGAAACATGAACCCCTAAACCCTAAACCCTGAACTTTCAACCCTAAAAACCCTAAACCCTAAACCGAACCCCTCAAACCCTAAACCCTCAACCCTTAAAAACCCTAAAAGCCCTAATCCCTAAACCCTAGACCAGTCTCTCCAATTGCAGGATTAGGAGACCCCTCTCCCTGCCTAAGAATTACCACAGCAGGGATCCCCGAAGTTAACTAAGAACCCAGGGTCTACATAGCTAGTTTTCTAAATTAGGGTCCCGCTTCTAGGTCCCCAACTAAAGTACGGCATCCTTATCTTATGGAAAAATGGAGACCAAAAGAGACCCTTATTTCGAAAACGATCCACATTAGTAGAAAATCAGAGTCCAGGGAGAAGCCCAAACTTCCAATGTCGAGGCTCGCCTTTTTCAGGCCCACACCTCATGCCTTACAGCGGAAGTGAAGTATATCCTAGTATATCCTTGTCATAACACCTTCTATTCGAGGTATGATGCAGACCCCTTAATATCAGGATCTCGGGTATGATCCGTATGAAGGGTGTCACTGTTTTTGTTATCAGGGGTCTACTTTCATTCTGCGACTGGGCCAGAGCAGACAGGGAATAAGCCCCATCATGGGCTTCTCAGCTTCCACCATAGGCACTTGCCAAAATGCTCTCCAACACACAGAGAAAAGCCCTATATCAACCAACCCTAAACCCTATATATCTATATATATGTATATATATATATCTATATATATATATAATCCCTGAACCCTGAACCAAACCCTGAGGCCATGAACCTTAAGCCTCTATAGATCAGCTTCTTTCGGGTGCAGGCTTCCGAGTTTGGTGGCTCGGTTTCAGGCCGGTTTAGCTGAGGGCTTGGGCATCGGGAATACACCAGGACCCTCCGAGCATTTTCAAGCAGGGGTATATGGTCCTAATTAAGGGCATTTGGGTCGAATAGAGGGTAGATGCAGGGTCTAGGCATAGAGGTCTGAGTTTGGTGAACAAGTGATTACATCATAGTCTCGTTTCGTCTTTCTGTGTAGCCATTTCTAGAAACCCTAAACCCTAAACCCTAAACCTGCCTGAAGAATGGGCCCTGGGCCCTACTCTGGCTGCCGATTTCGAACGCCGAGGCCAGTTCTTCGCCATTCTTTGTCCTCACGTCCGTCATGAAGCAGACAATGTTCTCCTGAATAAGAGGAGCCATGGCTTTGGGTTTAGGGTTTAGGGGTTCTAGGGTTTAGGGTTCAGGGGTTTGGGGTTTAGAGTTAGGGGTTTTAGGGTTGAGGGTTTAGGGTTAGGGGTTCTGGGGTTTAGGGTTTATAGGGTTAGGGGTTCTGGGTTTCGGGCCCCTTTCCCTGACAGAAACACAGTACTTTTTTTTTGTTGAGACCCCTGGGGGCTACCTGTGGTCCCCAGAGTACGTAGCTTCCTTCTCGGTACAAGTGTAGCTTTATATGAGCCGAGCAGATCCCCAAACAGAAGGACGATGCAGCAACATACACGCACACACACACACACACACACGCACGCGAGCACACACACACACACACTTACACACTTACACTTACTTTTACTTAAACCCCAAACCCAGCACTCAAATCCAGGCCCCCCTCAACAAAGCCAACCCTAAACCCCTAAACCCCTAAACCCCTAAACCCTAAACCCTAAAACCCTAAACCCTAAACCCCAAACCCCAAAAAGACCCGAAAAGGAACTGGGCCAGCCGTGGTTGGTGCCGGATGGAGCAGATGGCCCAGGAGCTCAGCACCAAGCAGAGGTGTGTATCCATCGAGACTTGGGCCTCTTTTTTTTTAGGGTTTAGGGTTTACCTAAACTCCCCAAAGTAGGTAAAATAATGGCCCCAAACCCATAAAAGGCTATTATTCTACATACTTTTGGGGTCCAGGTAGGGTTTAGGGAGACTGGGACCTTGTTATTTAAGGCTTTAGGGTTTAGGGTTTAGGGAGACTGGGACCTTGTCTATTTAAGGCTTTAGGGTTTAGGGTTTAGGGAGACTGGGACCTTGTTATTTAAGCTTTAGGGTTTAGGGTTTAGAGAGACTGGGACCTTGTCATTTAAGCTTTCCGGTTTTGCTTTTGGGCTTAAGGGGTCAGGGTTATTAAGTTATAGTAACGGTATAGCGCTTAGGATTTAGATTGGGTGTTTGCTACAGAGCTCGTGCTGCTTTGTTTAGTGTAAGTTACGGAGATTTTTCTCAGCTTCCATCAGCCTGTTCCTTCTTGTGTGATAATTAGTAATTTGTTCAGAAGCCTTTATAAAGCCTCAATGAACCATATTAGCCCTATAAGCCCTACAAGGAGATACATGGCGCTACACATGTGGTCGAGGCTCCAACATACGGCTGCTTGGCGCTAGTAGAAGCAAAGCCCAGAACTCAGTAGGGCTTGGAACTTGTTTGTTTGCCAGCTTTCACGACTAGCTGATTAGCTTCGCATCTGTAATAAGTTTCATCCCTGACGATGTTTTAAGGTTTTCTTGTCAGACGACACTACACATCAGGTTCTGCAAAGATGGTTCCCACCTCTAGACGGCCATGTGTTAAGTGCATTCACGGCAGTAGTTCCGAAGAAGCCATCGAATGTAGCCCTAAACCCTAGACCCTAAACCCTAAACCGAATGTAGACCGATTCTAATCAGCAGTGGAGTAAACCCTAAACCCTAAACCCTAAACCCTGAGCCACTGCTTCTCGAAGCCCCCCAAAACTGGTCCACCCCCAAGGCGTCTGTCTTTGTAGCTCCGCGGGCCACCAACTGGCGTGTTCGAGTACGAGCGTAGTACCCCGAAACCCTCAACCTTCAACCCAACAACTCTAAACCCTGAACCCAAAACCCTCAACCCAAAACCCGAAACGCTTCCCGCAGGCTCCTAAGCTCGGGTGCTTCCAAACTGGTGTACCGGGGTACACATGTATGCCTATTAACTAAAAGGCAAAAACTCGCATGCAGGAACTAGACGTACGAAAATACAAAACAAACAGCAATCTAAACTGAACTATATGAACCAGATGAACGGGGTGATAAATCTCAAATGCCAGCGGGGAAAGGTTGCGACCACCGGATTTTTGACATCTTCCGAAGACGATGAGTTGTGTAGTGTTGAACAATGATGCAGAAGAGGCTCATATAGGGTTGTTCCCCTAAGCAGTGTGGTAGCACTGCATTCTTTTTTTGCGTTGGGTGTGGAGAGAATTATAACTGCGGCGTGCACCCGGCCCGCGGAAAAAATCTATCACCCGAGTACCCACTTCGTTTGTTTTACAGCAAATGCTGCGCGTAATTGTGGTCCCCGCATCCCATTATCTGTGGACTCGGTGAGGCATGCGGTCCGGAGCCAGGATACATTGCCAATAATACGACAAACGCTTCCTCTGGATCCAAGAAAGTGGGGGAAGCACAAATGTCGTGCTCTCGAAGCACGCCGATATTTAAGGGAATTCGGTTTCGCACTGTTCCTGATTCCGCCAGCACTTGGGGGAAACATTCCTGCCGTGCTCCCGAAGCCTCCTCAATCATGGTAGTACTTGGGGGCAAAAGCATTCCCGTCGTGGTCCTCATTGCGCCAGTTTTTGGGTGAAATCATTTGGGCATTATCCTGGTGCTGTCCTATCCTAAACCCTAAACCCCTAAACCTTAAACCCCTAAACCGTAAACCCTTAAACCCTAAACCCCCTGAACCGGTCTCCTTGGGTCCCATGCTGGTCTCTTGGTCTCCTGGTCCTGGTCGCAGTGCTCGTCGTGGTGGTAGCATGGCGTAAATGTCGGAACAAAACGCAGATGGCAACCACATACCTACAAAGCATATACGTGGGTCAAAGTGGTTCCTATACAGGACGTTTTACATCCAAGGTACATACTTTAATGGATAAACGGATAGAGCTATAGATGCTTACAAGGACCCTTAGGGCCGTAGGCCTCAGGGTACAGGCTTCAGGGCTGAGCATGCAAGATTCAGGAATCGGTAGTACCTCTACCCATAGGCTCCAGAGTGGTTCCTTTTTGGGGTTACCTTGTAGGAACCGAAATACAAGCCACGAAAAGGAACTACTATGGAGCCGATGTGTAGTCACCTCCCGTAATTACGCTTCAGAGCCTCATAGTTTGAAAGTATCAGACTTTTTTAGCTTACCTCGAAACCCGGAACAGCAAATTCCAAACCCTAAGCGACACCTTTTTTGGGCCCTGTGAAGGCTGGATTCAAGCTCCTGTCGGAGGAGGTCAGTTCACGTTGCCAAGCGACCGTGACAAGCTTGCTCCTGTGGTACAGGATCTTGCTGTGGGGGAGTGTGTAGAGTCTAGAGTTCCGGGGGCCTACCGAGCACGATTCTGTCCATGTCGGTTTCAAGCCCGAGCAGGACATGGTGCGTCGAAAGCTACATGCATACCTTGCGCGTGGAGATCTGGCCAGCTACAGGATGATGCTAAACATGCAGAACGTCCACTACAGAAACCTCCCCCTCAACCCTGTGGACGACATCCTTCCCGGTTATGTTTCGAACAATCAAGATCCAGCAACCGCCCTGATGGAAAACTTCATGTACCAGAATGGCTTTGACTCCATTGACCCTTGGGGACCAAATGACCCTTATAAGTAGGGGTCCTATGCTTTTATACTATGAATCCCTATATGGTATATGAACCTGATACCCTTTTGGGGTTCATTTCGTCTTTCAGGACCAGCGCACTGCAGACGGGTGGTCTCCGATGTGCTTTGCGGCCTTGGATGGAAGACCCCTCCTACTTGCAGCATTACTGGATAATGGCGCCGATGTCAACGACCGAGTGACGCAACAATCATCGTCCAATAACTTCGGGTTGTGTCCTCTTGTCCACATCTGCGCTTTCCTCTCGCATAATGAGGCCCTGCAGCTGCTTATCGATCGGCAGGCCGATGTAAAGGCAAGGGACGGGTATTCCACCACAGCTCTTGCTTGGGCAGGATTTTCGGACAATGTCGCAGGGATCCATGCCCTAATCGCCGCCGGTGCAGATCCGACAATGCTGGACATGATTGGGTATGCCCCGTTTGCTCTAGCTAGCTCAGCAGGCGCTATTTCATCCATGACTGCTCTATTGCCTTACACACCGCGGCAACAAATTGACAAGTCGCTGTTGTTCACCATGCTGCAGGGAGGAGGCTCCGCTCAAGTGGTGTCGACGTTGGTCGCTCTCGATGCGGATGTGAACCATCAGGCCTCTACGCCCCTGCTCAGTCCTCTTGGCATCTGGTTTGGGTGCTTGAGCCTTCGGCATCAGCTGAACGAATCCAAGTTGAGTGCCTATGCATACCACTACGAGGGCCTGACGCCTCTGATGTGCAGCATCTTAGTAGCTGAGTGGGTACGCTACACTTCTTGGGATAATATTATCCCTTCTCACAGTTCTTGGGGCCAAACCCTAAACCCCAAACAGCCCTAAACCCTAAACCCCTAACCCTAAACCCCAAACAGCCCTAAACCCTAAACCCCTAAGCCCCATGAGCTCAGCAACTAAGGCATTCTGACCAGCTCCTATGAAGCCACAGCTGTGCTCTTGGGAGTGGGTGCACGGACGGATCTGCGGAATGCACGCGGCAAGACTGCGCTTGACCTGGCCAGAGACCGGGTTTTTGTTAAGGAAATTATAGAACAAGTTACCATAATAATCGGGATCTACAGTAAATAGTGTGGTTTCCTGGTTCTAGTAACTTAAAGTAAATCAAGTTACCATAATCAATAGGGATCTCTAGTAAATGATGTGATTTCTTTGTTATATGTTAAGTCAATATAGGGGTCTATAGTAGATAATGTGGTTTCCTTGTTTTTGTTAACCTAAAGTAAATCCTTTAACAAGAACCCTAACGGTCCAAGTACTCTTATAGTATGTACTTCGGGGGCCCAAGTAGCCACCAAGTGGCTACTATAATGGTACTTGGACCCTTTGGGGAACCCTAAACCCTAAACCCTTTGGGGAACCCAGGAGAGACTTCGGCTCCGGATCACATTGCGCAAGCGCTTGCAGATGAGGGAGATGCACCTTGGGGACCAAATGACCCTTATAAGTAGGGGTCCTATGCTTTTATACTATGAATCCCTATATGGTATATGAACCTGATACCCTTTTGGGGTTCAGTTCGTCTATAAGGCACGGGAGGAGCTCGTGGGGGAGGTGGCGGAGTTCATCCACCAGGAGGTGTCAGTGGCAATGTGAGGCGATGTGATGCTTGCAAGTCGCAAGCCAAAGCCAGAACCACAGCTTTAGCATGACTCACTTCCTGGAACCCAAAGGTATGCAGAATAATAGCCTTTTTATGGGGTTTTGGGCCATTATTTTACCTACTTTTGGGGGTCTAGGTTGGGGTATCAATCAAGACTGGCTGGTCCGAAACACAGAAAAGCAGAAGCTACACTATGGGATCAAGCTAGTCGGTAATCATGAGAAGATGCCCGATCTCCTCAACAGCACAGGACGCTAGGACAGGAGGAGAGGAAATACTAGGAATCCGGGTTTTCTCGCGGGGAAAGGCGGCCAACCCTAAATCCTAAACCCCAAACAAACAACCCTAAACCCCAAACAACCCTAAACCCCAAACAACCCTAAACCCCAAACCCCCCAACAAACTCCTGACGCCATAGGCCGCCAGATCCTCAGTCTTTCCGGTTCAAGGTGTAGAGCTTTCGCAATTTTTACATGACCAATACCTGGACCCCAAAAGCATGTGAAATAATAGCCGTTTATGGGTTTTGGGCCATTCTTTTACCTACTTTTTGGGGGGTTTAGGTAGGGCTTAGTGTGTGTAGGGCCAAGGGTTTAAGGCTTTAGGGTCTTCAGGGTTTAAGGTTTAGGGTTTAGGGTGTTCAGGGTCAGGGTTTTAGGGGCACTTCCTACAGCGTTGCCTACCTCTTCCACAGCCTAGATCCTTGGGTTTCTCTTGCTGTCAGGCTCAGTACAGAAGGCGGCACAATTACTGTTGATGATATAAATCCTGCATTACCTCCAGGACCCTAAACTATGGGAGTTATTGTATATTCCTTAACATGGGTCATGCAGGATTGATATCATCAACCGTAGGCTTGAAAGAGTGCTTATAGAGTTCTCACAGATCTTCGTAACACTTTCTGAGTTCACGTGGTCCGCATGGGGTTGAGGGTTATCTGGGCGCAGGGCTTCTGGTTTATAGGCACTAAGGCTTCCAGGAGGTTAGACTTCAGGGATGCATTTTCGGACTTTTTGGCACAGGTTGTCTACAACCCAAACCCCAAGCACGCTCCCACAAAGCACCCCGCAGTGGAAAACCTGCAAACCCCGAAAATGCCCATATCTATCCTAGCCTGAAAATGTCACAAAGACCACCTAAAGACCCTGCACCGGTCCTTCTCAACAGTTTAGCTTCGATGATTAGTCCAGGCTTTAGAGAAGGTCATGGGCTGATAGGATGTATGGGTAGTTCTCTAAATTAGGGTCCCCTTTTAGGTCCCCAAAATAGTACGGCACCCTTATAAAAAGGACCCTAGGAACCCTAATTTAGAGAACAACCCATATGAGGGCCTGAACAAAGAGGATGGGGATCTGGGCCACACTATAGTAAAGGCAAGCAGGGACTACCAAGAGAAAATCTGGGCCCCTTGAACCCTCAGCCCTAAACCCTAAACCCTAAACCCTAAACCCTCAGCCCTCAACCGCCAATCCGACCACCCTGAACCTTTAGCCCACACCCTCGACTCTAAACCTTTACCCCCAAAGCCCTAGAAGCTTAAACCCTAAACCCCGAACCCTAGACCTTCAACCCGAAACCAAAACCTTAGGAGTTTAGGGTTTAGGGTTTTGGGAACCCCTGACACCCTCAAAGGATAGACTTGCAAACGCGCGCTGCAAAGGCAGCGGCTGGCCGCTTGATGCCGAGCAAGTAAGAGGCCAGCCGATTTCCCAGAGGAGCCTCAACAATCCGGGATGGACAGGCTTTGGCCTTTGATGTCAGGACTTTAATGATTAGAATAGGTTTTGGGGTAAGCTGCACCATGTAATCATAATGAGGGACCCGCAACATAGCATAGGTAACTATTAGACCCCCTTTGTTGAGCTTCTGCAGTGTGTCTTGGTTTAGGGTTGAGGGGCTTACCTGTAGCCCCAAACGCTACAAAATAGTATCGGTTGTGACCCTCGAACAAGAGGGTCTAGTCTAGCCCTTAAAGCAGTCGGTTTTTCGGATCTACAGGTGGGCGTCCAGGGTGGATCGATTGAGAAATCGGAATTGTAGACACCTCCCCGCAACGGTCTGAGTAACGTCTGGCGACTGGGGACTGAACATAGGGGTAGGGTTTAGGGTTTAGGGTTTAGGGTTTAGGGCTTAGGGTTTAGGGTTTGGGGTAGAGGAGGGTTACTTTAAGGGTTCTTCTTGAAGGGGTCTACTAGGGGCTGCTGTAAGGCCTACAAGGCCCCTGTACAGTCTTGCCGCAACTACCCTGGGAATCCGATAGATCCGCGGTGGAAAAAATGATGGGTTCAGGGGTTCGGGTTTAGGGTTTAAGGATTAGGGTGTAGGGAAAAATCATGAAGTGACCCCTCGGGAAGGCATGTGCGCATCTCTGGGCAGCCTTGCGATAGCGACAGGCTGCAGAGAAGTGTAGGGACAGAGGATACGACACAACGCCGTTGCGAGCAGTACTGGCAGCAACATGAATTCTGACGACACTCACGACGATAAGCAGTACGACGATAAGCAGTAGATCCAGGACAACACGCACCACAAAGTAGAGCTGCAACCACATCCACCAAAGGATACGTGCAATTGCAAACGAGTACCACTGAGGAGGATGACGATGAAGACCAAAACCCACATGCAAATCATATTCTGGAAGAAACTCTTGCGACATGGAACTTACCAAACGAACAGCAGCTAAAATGAGTTGACCATCAGCCGTAGCGATGGCCGAAGGACTTGAGACTCACGCTGGCTTTGTTCCTTAGACCAGAGCGACACTGCTGCTAAAATGGTAGTGTTTTCTGACATCAGCTAGCATCGTATGTCGTTGTCTCGTCTCACTGCTAGACAGGCTTCTCTCTGAACCCTAAACCCTAAGCGCCTAAACCCTGAACCCTAAGCCCTTAAAACCTAAACACTAAAGACCCTACAACAGCCTCTATGCAAAGCGCTCGAAGCCCCGAGCCTCGAATAGGCCTTAGTAATTAGAATAGCGTGCGGGGGTATGCTTTACTATAAGCATGACAACGAACGCCGACATAACATTGGAAAGCATTTACGCCCCTCTATTGACCCCACCTCTTTTTCTGGCCCTCAAAATGAACGTACTACAATCCCGGGTCCGGATCGACACTAAACCCGAAGCCCAGCTTACCCTAAACCCCACCACCGTCTCGCTGCCAGGAAGCTGTGATGGTAGTCGCGCCAGGCTGCCAAATGCTCAGAAACACCTGGAAAAAAAAGACTCTTATGCCAAACTTGAGGGTTGGCAACTTTGCTCTAGGACATTTTCAGGGTTACCGTCATAGGAGCCTTATAGAACGACTAGGTACCATGTAGAAGCCTTATAGAAGCCCTATATACCTAAACACCCCACCTGTAGCTTTAAATCGCAGTTTGTTGAGGGTTTGGAGGTTTAGGGTTTAGCGGACCCTGACCCCCCAACAAAAAGTGCTTCTCTAAGGGAACTTGGTTCCTGAGTGGCCCCTTTATAATAAGGGTACCCTTTTTCCTACTATTCGGTTTTAGCAAGGGGGCCCTAAAATAACAAGGGCAAACGGGTACTACTCGGGGACCTAGGGAAAGGAGAGGGTTACCTGCTGCGGAGCATTAAAAGTGCAGATCCTGTGGCTACAGCTACTAGGAGGATGAGGGGAGCGGTTTAGGGTTTAGGGTTTAGGGGCTTAGGGTTTAGGGTTTAGAGTGAAGCCTGTCTAGCAGTGAGGGGGAAGTACTGTTGATGATATAAACCCAGCATTACCTTAAGGACCCTAAGCTATGGGCATTATGGTATACTCCTTATTCTGGGTAATGCAGGATTTATACAATCAACCGTAGTAAGATGGGTTGGAAGCAATGTTTCAGGTCTGGGGAATTTTGCGTGGGGAAGGTCGTGCATGTTTCAATCCCTAAGCTCGCAACAAAACACTGCAAACTTTAAGCCCTTGAAGCCAAACTCCAGGCTATTCGGGTTGGGTGTAGGGTTAGGGCTTAAAGTTTAAGCATCTTCGAAGGCTGAGGGTCCACGTTCAACAAAAGGCCACTCACATTGCTGAGTCCTGGACCCTACATCTGAATCTCAAAACCCTCTTTTCTAGGACATTTTCAGGTGGGTAGTTACCCTTATAGGAGCCTTATAGAAGGTCGATATACCTTATAGAAGCCTTATAGTAGCCCTATGTACCCTAGACTCCCTACCTGTAGTTTCCTTTGATCTTTCTGAAGAGTTAGAAATCCTCGCCCTCATAAGTACGGCCCCAACGAGGAGCCCTAAATCAGACGGCTTTGGGTCTCAAAACGGGGTTCCGGGCCCCGTACAATAAAACCCTAGGCCCTAAAAGCTCAACCCTCAGAAAATGTACAAAACATTGTGGAAAGAAACTACCTGAAGTCAAACAGGGCTTGCTTGGAGAAATCCATTAAGGCAACTATGTAGGCTTTTAGCGCCGGGGGTTTAGGGCTAAGGGTTCCTTTAAGGGATCTA